CAACAACAACAATATCAACAAACACAACATCGGGTAAGTCATATTCAAGTATTTGCATGTAATTAAAACTTTATCAAGTGACCCTTTTCGTTTAATTTTTAATGTTTCTTGATTAATAAGATAATCCACAATATGACTCATACTTCAGGGTCTGTAGATGATGTATGGGGTCTTTGGGGAGAATGGACAGAATGTACCTCAACATGCGACTCTGGAATTCATAAACGATACCGAACCTGCAATGCACAAGACTCAACAGGTTGTCTTGGAGATTACATAGAGACTGAAGTGTGCCTAGAAACTGATTGTCCAGGTACTTAATGACTTCTTTATTATGTACTAATCAATATTATTTAATGAAATATTCTGGGTGTGTTCAATTATAAAATATTTGAACAATTAAAATGATATTATATTTTCGAAATGAAACAACTTAAAAGATCTTTATATCTATCTATACCGAGGTGTCAACAAATATTTCTATCAATAATAAGCATTACAGAGCTTTCAATAAATCATGTTTTGGAATGTAATGAATTATTTAGTATTTAACTTTGATATCATGATATTATTTTGCAGTGTTTGGGAAGTGGACAACGTGGGCATCTTGGGAAAGTTGTGATAGGACCTGTGGCAGTGGTACTCAGTCAAGAAGGCGATCTTGTTCTAAGATTGATTCATCCGACATTGACTGTATTGGTTTGAGTGTGCAAAATAAAGCATGCGCTGACTGGGAATGTCCAGGTCTGTTTATCATACTTTAGTGATAAAATTGAGAGTTCTTTTCCCAACGCTTTCTTAGTTAAACGTGATTTTTAGAATGAAGACACCTAAAAATACTGGGTTGTTCCATTGTAAATATTGTAAATATGTAAGGTTTACCAAAAATGTAGAAACAATAAGATTTTTCTAAACTTATATTAAATGTGAAATACTTTTTGATAATGTTGTAGATTGTAGCAAAACATGCATCGTCGGAACATTAAACGATGACTGTGATACATGTGAGTGTGACGGTGAAGTTACAAATGGTAGGGTGTGTGTTTTCGATACAGGGAACCCAGTAGGCAATGCCGATTTTTTTTCAAGTACAGCACCGACCAAACTTCTTGGGCAAAGCAACTCAACTGGTTTCTTTACACTGGAAAATTTGTGCACAAACTCGGAATTATTAGTAACTAGATCCGGATTCGTTGATCAAACCGTATTAATCAAAAGTGACTACTTGATAGTCAACATGACGAAACAAAGTAATTCTTATTATCTATACTATTCTTGTTCTCATTAAATAAAGATTTTTTCTTCCTTTGTATGTCAGGGAAAACATTTTTTAAACAGTAAAGTATATCTAGTCATACGATTTAAATATTTTTTTTACACTGCGGATTTATCTGGTAATAAATTTCCATCTCTAAGAATATATTATTAACAATCGATCAGATTTTTCTGTTTCATTAATTATTCAATTAACAATTTTGTTTAAAAGTTTTGCCTTACTTAACGGAAACGCCGCAAACGAAATACAGATTAAAGGGTGAAGATGCTACACTATGTTGTCAAGCTAAAGCAAATCCTCCTATCGATTATTACGAGTGGTAAATGTTTTTTATTCATTTTTATTCATTTCATATATTTACTTTTAATTAAACCATAAACAGCACACTTATATGTATTTTCATTTAATTATAATAAATCTTCAAAATAATTGTGATATGCATAACAAAAAAATATTGCCTTTTAATTTTCTTTCGGTTTTATCTCTGAATGATGTTACTTTGATTTGTCTGGTTTTTGTACCGCTGTCATAATTTTGTTTATAATATTTCCATTTAAAATAAATAGAATTTGTAGCGTTACGTGAGAAAATTACAGCAGTGTTATAAAGTGTTATTCGTTTTACAGGTTTAAAGATGGTCAAATTCTAGACGAGAGCTTATATCAGGAGGGTAATACATTACGGTTGACTAGCTTAACAACATCCGATAGCGGCAGTTATCAATGCAGAGCTAACAGTGCTGCTGGAGCCATAATGTCACCTGTAGCAACAATGAGCATAAAAGGTTAGACAGAAATTCTTTCAATTTTACGGCTTTAAAATACTGCATTATAGTGACTTATTTTATTTGTCCAAATTGTAATATTAGTAGTAGTGCAAGCAATGTATTTATTTACATTATGTTTCTATTTTTAAATTGTTTAAATGTGACAAAGCAAAGATAAAATAGTAAATAATGAAAGTTTCACTAGTAAAGTAAAAAGAAATCTTTGTTTTGCATTGTAGAGGGATCTGACGAGTTTTGTTCCGATGCCCTTCAGCAGAAAACAATCGCTTTACCTGATGATTGTATCCAATCCAGAACTAACACTGCAACATATGAAGTAGGGGAATGCATACCAAAGCGTTGTAGGGGCCACAATACCACCGACAATGGGTCATGTCGTGAGGACATCACAACTTGCTGTACAACAGGCGAAGCTGACCTTGAAAAAATTCAATGTTCAGGCTATGAACTTGAGGTTGTTGTTGTAAAATCGTGTAGTTGTGGCACATGTGTATCAGATTCTCTTACCATTTCGGGATCAGCTTTTGGCGCGGAAGATGGATCACCTCTTAGATTTGGCGAAGTTTGGTTGAATGGTGTTTTTCAAACCTACACAAGTACATCAGGCGATTTCAATTTTGATGTTTCCAAAGCTGCTCCAAGGATAACATTAAACTTAAAAGATATTTATTTTAAGCAGTTTCTACCGGCAGTGAAGGTAATTGAAATCAATGATCAAATGGGTGGAGTGCTTCGAGTAGACATTCCCATGATTAAATCATCAGAACCAGTGCAAATTGATTCATCAGTTGACAACACCTTGGTTGCGGGTTCTTCTGTGAATAACGAAAGCACGTCAATTATTCAAATTTTGATTCCAGCTAACGCATTTTACTATTCAAATGGCACACAATACAGTGGAACGGTTGATGCAAGTCTTACTTTTCTTGATCCAACCAATTCATCTGTACTAGAAAACATGCCAGGAACATTTGAAATCGTTGACGAAGAAGGGCAACTTGCTGCTTTAGATTCTCTTGGTGTCTTCAGCCTTTATTTTGAAGATTCATCTGGACAACCTTTGGTTTTAGATAAAGTAGTCGATTTTTACGTTCCTCTTGAAGCTGTTCAAGACGAAGAAATTCTAGGAGAAATAAAATTATGGATGATTAACACTGAAACTGGGGTTTGGGAGTATGTAACGCAAGAAACTGGAACAACCAGAAGAAAAAGGCAAATAGATACTGCTCGTTGGATTGGAGAACTCGACTTGTCTACCGTATCTCAAACTTGGTTAAATTATGATATGATTAGAGGAAGATCAACAGCATGTTTCTTCAAAATAAGACTTTTTCTTGACGCGACAGCCTCAGCAACTGTTACATATACAAGGCGTGGTATTAACGTCGACACCCAAATACTTAATGGTAATTTATTAACAACTGTTAATGGTTACATGTATTACCCTGAAAGCCAATGCATGGCAGGAATTTGCGAAGAAAATAATGCATTTATATCTCTTTATTACTACGGACGAAAAGGAAAAGATCACCTCTTTGCTGGGACACCCTCATTAGGACAACCTAGCCACTCTTATCAAATAATTGATGAAGGAAAGGTATTGGAGATTCAAATGTCTGTAACGGAAGATGGGCCATTTTTTAGAAACGAAGCGCAATGCAAAGCCTCAGGCAAAGATGAACACCACTTAAAGTTTCATTACGGCCAGACGAATGAAATATTTACGTACATGCCATTTTTTGATATGCCAGGTCCGGGAGCAAATATAGAATTGCTTATTCGTAACAGTCAAAGAACCTGGTATCCTGCTCGAGTTCCAGAGGGTTACAGAATTTGCTTAATGAAAGTCCGAATTACATTCCAATCGACCATAAACCTGCCTCCCCTTCAATTTATCAAATTGAAAGCAACAAGTTACGGCGGCACATATATTGAAACAGAAAATTTCATTTTTGGTATCCGAGAGTACACACTTACAGATTTAGTTGACACAACGTTTTGCATTGAGTATAAATGCAGCGGAACAATTGCTCCTCGATTGGATCCACAGTTTGATTATACTAGAGTTGTTTTGCATCTTGTTTATCCTCCTGACATCGGTATTACAAGTGAAATAATAGGAGAAGCAGATTTTGTGTCATCCTTTCCTGATCTTAGTAATGTCGCCCAACTTGGGGAAGGCGATGGTCGATACGATATGAAAGCGCCCACAGTCTATACACCTGAACTTGGATTATATTCAGCAACATCCGACCGATTAGATCTCGATAGTGCTACAAACACGGCCGAAGGGGAATGTCGCTCGGGGATACCCCATAATCTTAATGACAACAATCCGGAAATTGGTGTCGCTGTTACATTCTCTTTAACGGACGAAGGGATATGTAACTTTTGGTGGTCAGCAATATTTTATACTTTCTGCTAAGTTAAACACTGTAGTAATATACTCGGAGTAATGTTTGTACTATACATTTCTTGGTTTAAGTTCAGTAGTAAACATGCTAAATATTTGTTTTTGTCTAATTATTGATTTATTTTTTACTTTATAATCATTTTATTAATTATTAAATGTTAAACTCGAACATTTCGCTTTCTTTGATAGAGAAATGGACACAAAATAGATAAATACGAAATCCCTAAAGAAAGCCCAACACGGCAAAATTGAAAACGTTGCAGGCACGGTTTGATTGAGCCTGTTCATGGACGGTACTTGAAAGTGCAAGTTACCGTCCACGCCCCCTAGCACCGGCTCAAGCAGAATTCAACATTCAAACATGAAATAGTAAAATTTTGAATTTAGAAACATCCGCAGATGTGTTCATACGGCGGTTATCATGGAACCTTCAATGTGACACTTCCGTGCCATTCCATGAAAAGCGGCGTATGGTCCCCAATTAAAAAAATACGTGTGCCCTAAACGAGAAAACAATGGGCGGAACTAAATAAAATAGAATTTTGAAAGGGGATCAGAGGATATGAAGCCTGCGTATCACAGATAAGACGTCAAAAGACAAATTTAAAAAGCAGGCAACATATCCTAAGGGTGATTCAACATTATTCAAGTAGGAATTCAAGTAGAAAGTCTTAAGAAAATATATTAATACATAACTCACTCCATGTATATTCTGTACTTATTTTGATACGAGTATGGTTTATACACTAAAAGATTATTTTAATTTTGATATTTGACAACTTCCGACAATAAGATGGAGGTATACTTTCGAAAGAATGTTTAGTTCTTCATATTTTCAAGAGCACAGAGCCATGTGAATGATTATGTTAATTATCGTTATTATATTCATAGCTTGCATTTCATCAACAAGGCCACATCTATCCACAGTAGTATTTCACTATCGGAATTTCGATTTAATCATTAAATTTTATTTCTATGACTAGGCTACAGCACATGTTTTATATGGAGATGTAGTTTATAAAGCATTTTACATTTTTTGCAGTTGTCTTTACTTTTATTATTTTTGTTTATTTAAAGGAGGCCATGATTCAACTATTTTGAACCCCTTCAGAATTGGCAGTTAGTAAACCTCTTTATATTACATATGACGGACTTCATAAAGAACAGTATTTAACCTTTTACCCCATGAGCATATCGTGAAAAATGGCTGTTTTCATTGAAAAGTCACCTGTTACAAGTTCAAAATGCTATGAAACTATGAAAAATGCTTCAATACTGATGAAACTTGGCACAAATGTTGACTGGACCATAGCCTCTGAAACAATATGCTCAATCTTAAATGTCTTGTTACCATAGCAACGGGGGGACGTCACAAAATTGCCAAAAATCACTATTTTGCATTGTTTTTTCCATCAAATAGAGAAAAAAGAATCCCTAAAGAAAGCCCAACACGGCAAAATTGAAAATGTTGCAGGCTCGGTTTGATTGAGCCTGTTCATGGACGGTACTGGAAAGTGCAAGTTACCGTCCACGCCCCCTAGCACCGGCTTAAGCAGAATTCAACATTCAACACTACTTTCAAAGTGCTGCAACTTCTAAATGGATTGAGATAGAGTAAGAGGCTTTTCAGCGTTGGTTACACGTTACCTTAAGATTGACCTGGGGCTATTTTTAGCCTGTCACGTGTCCAAAATTTTCTTGGCGATGAGATGGGCTGCCGCCCCCTTCAACCCCCGCACCCGAAACTGAAGGGGGCACATCCCCCTTCTGGCAACCCCTTGATGTACCATTTTGATGGGGGCAGCGCCTAAAATGTGGTCAACATTTCTCAAACGAAATTCAATGTTCGGGGGGGGGGGGGCTAAATAGGGCATTTTTTCACCGTTTGATGCCTCAAAAGGGGGTGCAAAAAGCCGTCAAAACACGTCTATATGAGGTAAAAGGTAAATAAAAAATGATGAAAAATCTTGGAATTACCCAAAATCTAGTTTTTCAATGTGAACACATGGCCTTACACGTATTTCTTGGTGAAAATTTGTTGTTTTATGGCATTTTTTATCTTTTTTAATTAACCTTTTACCCCATGAGCACATTGTGAAAAATGGCCGTTTCTATTGAAAAGCCTCCTGTAACAAGTTCAAATGCTATGAAACTATAAGAAAAATTTCAATACAGATGAACAGGGCTGGGAATCAAAACTGCGTCGTATCCTACAAAAAGTAAACAAACGCCGCCATCTTGGAACGAAAAATGTATGTTTTTGTTTATAACACTTTTTGTTGGAAACGACTGAAGACAAGATATATGTATTAACACGCTACACTATTTTCCGCTTCGTTCGGTATATGTTGCTTGCACAACTATTTTGTAAAACAAAAGTTATAGCGAACTTGCAACTCGAAGCGAGGCAGAATTTTTATGAAAATATGTGGATACGACGCAGTTCATATTGCTTTATCTATCGTTTTTTCCTTCAAATCAATTATATATTTGTTTCAGAGTTCACCATAAACTTCGAAATATAATTTTTCATCATTTACTAAAATTTTATTAAAAAGAGATGTTTATTTTCTGAGAAAATAATGATTTTTACGAAATGATACGACGCAGTTGAAAATAAAATATGATACGACGCAGTTGTATTTTGAACAGGGATAATTTTGGCAATATTTTTCTATTTTATGGAATAATCACTTGCGCTAGATAAAACCAAGATCATTTGCGGTGTAAAGCAATGTTCTGTTGATTATTTAGAATACAATGTGTCATGTCCAATATAACATTTAATTTGAAATTTTACATTGCGGAAGCTACTTTTCAGTTAAACATGAACATGTTACCTTATTGATCATAATATCTGAAATAATTTCTTATATTTTCCTGTATGTTCAATATTATCCCTAATTTTTTACGCAAAAAAAATGTAGAAATCTATTAACTTAAATTCATTTTGTGGTTCTGCATGTTCTGGGTAATGACTGCTTTTTTGTGGTTTCTTTTCAAACTTTCACTCTACACATTAGCTTTGCTAGGGGCGAGGACCTCAGGTGCGCCTTTGTGCATTATTTCAGGCAAAATGTTGTACCTGCAGCAAAATGTTGTACCTGCAGAGAACTGTCGACATTTTGAAACTAGCTTGATAGGTTTTCCACACAAAAGAATAAAAAGTCCCTGGTGGTTTTCGAATTCATTGCAGTTCAGTTCAAGTGATTTGAATTCAGTAAACATAAACAGCTCGGCCTCGGTCGGACACACCTGTCTGATTTGTTTTTTCAACAAAAATTTGTTAACGTCAGCTGTAAGCAGCTTTTTTATTTTTTTC